CCCTATATTTTTCCCATTATGATGGAATTTGCAACCCCAACTGGGGAGCATTTTACGTATGTGTGGCACATTTTCACGTATTTTTAGGTGCAGGTATTACAGCACATGTACTAGGTCATAATATGGGGCTCAATCATGATGGATCTGGTTGTTATTGTTTTCGAAGAAGCTCCTGTGTCATGGCTCCTGAGCCTGGTGTTATGGATATGTTTAGCAACTGTTCTTATGCCAGACTGCATCGACGGGTTAATATGTGGGATCCTTGTTTGAGTGTAAAAAATGTACCATACAGAAATTTTCCTTATGTAGCTCCTCGTTGTGGTGACAAGATCATAAATCAGCAGGAAGAATGTGACTGTGGCTCCATTAAAGCTTGTAATCAGGATAAATGTTGTGAGACCAATTGTGCCCTCAGCTACGGCAGTGATTGTAGTATAGGAGGTTGCTGCATTCGCTGTAAGTATGCTCAACCTGGAACGGTTTGCAGAGACACGCCTGGTATTTGTGATCTACCAGAATACTGTAGCGGGAACACACATGTTTGTCCAAATGACTTTTATATCCAGGATGGAACCCCATGTTCACCATTAGCTGTTTGTGTGAGAGGAAACTGTACTGACCGTGATATGCAGTGTCAATCCCTGTTTGGCTACCAAATAAAAGATGGTTCGTCAGCATGCTATACAAAATTGAATGTAATGGGTGACCGATTTGGGAACTGTGGCATGAGGGTGGGACCAGGAGGATCACGATCTGTTGCATGTGAAGCAGATGATGTTCATTGCGGAATGCTACATTGTAGAAATGTCCTCGAAATTCCTGGTGGGGGGGAACACACCACATTTCGTCATATAATTGTACAAGATGTTCAACAAGAAAGATGCTTCGGATACGATGTACACCATGGGACAGAAGTGCCAGAAATGGGGCTTGTAGTGGATGGTGCAACATGTGGGCCAGGAAGTTACTGTTTCAGACAGAACTGTACTTTTTACCAAGACATGCGTTTTGACTGTGATGTCAAGAGATGCAATTTCAGAGGAGTGTGTAACAACAGGAAACACTGTCACTGTCTGAAAGGTTGGAAACCACCATCATGTGAAGAGAGAGGACCAGGTGGTAGTATAGATAGTGGCTCCCCACCTGACAAAGTACCACCTCGTCAACCCAAAATAAGATTTAGTATAAACAAGGCAATAGCTGTATTGAGTATGCGTGCAAGTCTTTTACTGCTTTCACTAATCATTGGAGGACTTTCACAACTAAAAAGAAATATTGATGACTACAGTAAAACATAAGCTAGTGAAGAAACAGAATCTCTTCCACCCGAGTAAATACTAACCAGAGGCCACACAACAGAGAAAATCATACCAGCACTTACTAAGAGAAATGATCAATAATCACTCTGATAATTACATAATCCTATAGCTATTCCAAGGTTGTCATCTTGAAATAAAATGATCTGGCCATTAAAAATGGGTCTATGTGTTTAAATTCATTGAACATTTCATGTCTCATCATATTCTTATTATTCCTGTAGAGGATAGAAGGAACTCTTAGATTCACTAACAAGAGGACCTGTATTAATGTGGATTCTAACATTTTATAGATGACCCTGTAACAAATCTTGTTTGCACTTGTATGCCCTTGTTTTAACAGTTTATTGGGCCTTTTCTCAATTGGTTTTGTACTAGATTTTTTGTTAGTGTTAAACAAATAGCATA